CCCGCTGCCGCGGGAAGACGCAGGGGCTGGCAGCAGCCGGTGAAACGCTGAGGTGTGACAGGAGGGGAGTGACCCGCATCGCACCCTTCTGTGAAAGCCCCCATTTTAACAAGCGTTTTAGCGTCTCAACTTTTTAGAGAACAGCAGACAGAAAACCAGTGAGCTGGCAGGTAAATGGGTCACGTACTTTGTTACAAGTACAGAAAATTGAGCTTATGTGAGGGAAAAATCCTATTTCTCCAGAATTACCCCACTGAGCCACAGCTCCCCCAGGAGCAGTTGCTCAGAGGACCAGGCCGCTGGAGCAGCGCGGGCACAGCTGCCTCAACAAGCGGCACAAGCAAGCTTACCCGAGCCCTGGCTCCAGCAGCGAGTGCCAGACTTCCTCGGGTGTTTCCAGCATCCCCCAGAGTGGTAGAAAATACATCCAAGAGCCAGGAATGCTTAGTGCCAGAACGCTGCAGCAACAGGGATGAGAGTTTCCGATAGTGATTTTTCACATTCAGAAACATTAGTCAAGACTGCTGTTAAAAACAGTTGCTGCAGCACTTCTGCCACTAAGTTCAACAACGTAAAGAAAGAGGAGAAAGCAGTCAAGTAATTACAGCAAGCTGGACTGGTGTTCTCAATTCCAGTTTCCAGAGGACTAAACCAGGCTAGAGCAAGGATGGAGCCCACAAATAACACACCCAGGCTCCCTTTTAAGCACAGGGATGAGGTAAAGGCTTTTATTTTCATATGGAGATGTGACATCCCTGCAGCAGGCAGTGCCCAAAGCAGCAGGCTCTACCATTTGATTAAGGAGCAGAATGACACACCACTCCCTCCTCAGATTTTACCATACAGGCAACTAGTCAAAACTGCCCCAAAACTGTTCCAATTAATTTTTCTGTGGCCAGCCCTGTGGTACAGGACTCTGCACAGGAGTTTTGTGTATGTCCATGTGAAAGTCATTCAGGGCTTTCAGTTAGTTTCATCCTCAAGAATCTGGGATCACAGAACTAAAGCTGGAGGAAAACATTGCTGTTGCTGATGTAAAGCCTTCTACCCTGCTTACAGAGGGAGCTGCAAACATACCCATTCCAACGTCTAACTGAAAGAGAAAGAAGCTCCAACATAGGCTTTTAGAAGTGTTTATTGATGGTTACTAGATGGAATGATGGCTCAATAGTGCAAACCACTGTGCAATTGGGAGAACATGCTCCCTTCCCACTTTTCACATGTACTTTATTATACAGGAGACATGGAATAAGGATTAAATACAAAATGGGTCAGTATGTTGCATTTACCACACTCCATTGGGCTTTGGACAGAGTACTGTTCCCTCAGTGCATGTCAGTTCAGAGCTACATTGAAGCAGGAAGTGGCTGCTATGTTCTGTCCAGCTCGACTAGCAAGACAATTGGAACCATCAATCTTTCTCATTTGCACGCACATGCTCAGTCCGAAAAAGCTAGCACTTCACTCAGCCAGTTTCTGTGCTTTCTGTTTCATAAAGAGTGGAAAACACCAGACACTCACAAACCACATGTAATATTTACTAGTACACTACAAGTGAGCTTCAAGAGCACTTCTTCAGAAGCAAGATTTCACTAATATTAAATTATCTTGCTAGCTTGTAAACTTAAGTGCCTACTTCTTCACCTTTGTGTGACTTTTCTCCCTGTAAGCTTCTAAAAACAATTGGAAGTGAGCAGCTAAACTGTATTTCTCGTGCTTGAGAGTCAGCACTGGAAGAGATTTATTAGTCCAATAATAAATGACCAGCTAGTTTCTCTAAGGAAGTTGCGTTGTTAGATTATAAGTCAAAGAACACTCTGTCCTCAAATGATGCGTTTTGAAAAAAAACAACCTCAACCATGCTCAAAAAAATTAAACTCCACAGTTACGAGTCTCAAGGCTAAACTGACCAGCACGCAGTGGTTCCAACTGTCATCCATGCACACTTCTCCTTGCGTTTCAAACCGGTAACAACATCTTTCTCTTCAAGAGAATCTAGAACCACAGCCATTTGGAGACTAATAAAACCACGGGGCAGATACTGGAAACTTCAGAAACTGCTGGATTAAGTTAATGCGAATTGGTGTTGTGCCCTCTTTGAACGTCATTCTTATTCCAGTCCAACAAAGTTACCTATACATATAAAACGTTAAAAGTTGTGCCACTTGTCAAAAAACAAGACGTCTCCAATTACTGATCACACTTTGGCATACAGTTGGGACAGGGAATAATACATTACAGAAAGCAAACCCACAAGATTTTAGTTACATAAAACAATATAATTTGTATATAAACTGATAAATACTGTCTCCATGGTTCACTAATTCCAAATACTAGTTATCTGCACATTAGTTGCTAATATCTATTACTAGAAGTAGTTCCAGCTTGTGCTCTCTCAGGGTGGTTAATTCATTTCCAAGACTAGTCAGCCTGTTTGCTCGGAGGGAAAAAAAAAATCTCAGCAATAAGACCAGGTTACATGTGAAGATTTCATTTTGTTGTCTGCCAGATAATGAATCCTATGATTACAGAAGCCACCGCAAGACCAAGAATCAGGATACAGATCTTCTTACGGGATTTCTTCTAATAAAAGAAGAAAAAAAAGCCACTGACACCAACAAGAGATGACAAGAGCAAAGAGCAAGTCTACCAGTTTACGTTACTAACTTTGGCGGACTAGAGCACTTGATACCCACACTTATTCAAGAGAAGTAACCAGTGTAGTCTGAACATTTTTACACGTTCCTTAAACTGCATTATCCTACAGATTTACATTTTCAGTTTTAGGAGCCGTCATCTAAGAGATGCAGTTAAGTCAGAATGTGACAAGTTTTGTTTCTCTTAAGTAAAATGCAAGCTTTGCTTCAACTTGACAATGCCTACCATATGCTTTTCATCCTGAGGGACATCATCATGGCTTCAGAGGAAAGCCAAACATCTCTAGCTATTTAGATTTTCCAGGTAAGGCTAATAAAACTGCTAAGCAGTTCCCCGATGCAATCTTCCCTTGGCCACTCGGAGCTGGTGTAGCAATAGCATGGCATTTCTACAGTTTAATTTATTTAATACACAGTTACTATACTTAGATTTTACAGCTTTAATTACTTTATTCATCATAGGAAACTACAGTCTGTCCATATACACCAAATATTTTTAACTGGTATCTAAGGATATTTATAACCATTTCCTCCACCATCCAGAAAACCACATCCAATGCATGTCCAGTAGCTCCCAAACTTTGATTTATAACATACCTCAACACTTTTTAAAGGAAGCCATGGAGAACTAAATACTGCCAGATGGCAAAAACTACTTTCCCTCCCTTGCAGCAGCACTGGAGTTCCATTGCCTTCTAGTACCTCCCCACTTAACAGCTTGAAAGAGTCCAATTTTTCTATCTTGCGTGGAAGCCTGAAGTCCCAGCAGTGAAACTGTTGGGACTGACTGAAGCAGAACCCTTGTTCCTTCACAGAACCTGAACATAACAGGGACAATAACAATGAAAGGAACCTGCAGAAAACACTGAATATCATACATTGATGGGACAGCGAGGACAGACTATGGGATAGAAACTCAGTAGTTAGAAAGAAGGGTGCTGCAAATCCCGGTCATCAGAAGTTTCCCCAAGTCTGGGCAGGATTTTTGCACATCAGTGTCTTGGCTGATATGTTTATAAGATAGATACAACATGAGAATTTATTCTTGTTCAACTGTTCTGCTAACTCCTGAGACGACTAAATACTTAAACCTGCTGAGCACATCTACACGAAGGAACAGACTGACTATACATCCTCTGAAGTAGAAGGGTAATTTCAATACCGTGTTTTTGGCTCAGGTGCTTTATCTATTCCTTGTAGTAAAATTTTGAGTGAGTGCCAACTTGCACAAAACCAAAATAAATGTTTTTAATAACTTGTTTGGTGGCTGCAGTCCTCGGTATGTGTCTCATTATGCCTGTTCCATTATTGCTCAACTGTACATTGACAATAAGGCAAGCACACAATTTACCTGATAATAGGCAGCTCTCTGTAACTGCTCACTGGCTCTTTCCACATGGACTTCTGCACTTTCCACATTTGCCTCTATGCTATCTATGGAAAAATAAGAGAACTCATTGTAAAATATTTCAGAGCTTCGGTGTTTAAAAAAAATCAGAAATACAATACTTTTTACACAAAATACTGGAAAATTTAATTTATGTAGGCAAAAATATGTAATTGAACTGAAAAGAAATTTCCTTACAAATCACACTTACCAATCATATCTCCTTGGTCATGAATCATCATGGCTAAATCTTTAAATATCTGATTGACATCCAAAATGTCTGCCTGAAGACAACAGTTTGACAAGTTATAACAAACATTGGTTACAATTTTTCTGACCATGACCACCAAAATGTCAGAATAGATACCAACATTCACTGACTGAGGTGACTTGATCCTACTATCTATGCAACTTGGGTTTAACACAAAAGCCTACAACATTCCCGCTGCTGAATATCTGTTTCATTACACTAGCAATTAGCATAGTATGGAACTGAGATGAACATTGTAACATGAGTTGCTCCTACCATCTCTGAAGGACCACCAGTCAACACTGAAGGAAAATATACCTAGTCTCCTTCAACAGGAGCAGGGAGATTGATCTCGGCATCAATCCTCTCTACAAGGAACTCTGTTCCTCCACCTTCAGATCTCCTCAGCCCATCCCATTAGTTAGCACTGCACAACTTCTTTGGTTTATCTCCCAATACTCTTAACTGCAGGATCTACTGGTCACCTCTAATTGCCTGATTGCTGTTTCTCTTTCTTTAATGAGTTCAAGGTCTTGTTCAGTTATTGCCACATCTTCTTCCTGAGACTGCATTTGATTCCAGTCTTCACCACTGGAAAGAGATAGAAAGAAAGTATGACTCTGCGTAGGCACTTCCACACTCCATTTATAGCAATGCACCAGGGAGTTAAAGTTGAAAAGTTTCCTACAGAACAACCCACAGGTTCCTGGCCCTGCAACTGTGTATACAGAGGCAGGACCAATTTGTGATAACAGTTACAAACTGGAACAGTTGGGAAAAAAAAAGGGACAGATGAGGAAAAGTGAAGAAACTGGAAAGCAATTACATGCATAGAATACTCTGTTCTAGGATGTAACAGTCATCTACAGCATTATAGAAGAAACCTCCTTATTTCAGTTCTGGGTTTTTTTGGGTTTTTGTTTGTTTGTTTGTTTGTTTTGTTTTTTTTAAAAATACCTGTACCTTCCTTCCCTCTCACCATCCCCCAAACAGGGAGAAATCAGGGTGAAAGTTTTGATAGTGAGTAGCCTGCAAGCACAACATTATCAGAACAAAAGAACACTTGACAAGCATCTGGATTCAAATATTCTTACCTGCTATCTGGCATCTGGAGATAAGAATAAAGTGTTTTGGTATTTTAGTTCATTAGTCTAGTAAGAACTTCAAATTAAACCACACACCAAAAGAGATGTTACAAAACAAGTAACTCTGCATCCCAGTCTACCTCTCTCCTGATGAGCTGGTACTTCCTAACTGCTGCACACGTTACACCAATTACAGTGAAGGCTGTACCTATAATACAAGGCCATCTCTATCTTCGGCATAGAAAGTTCTTCAAAGGCAACATCTCCCTCTTCTCAAAGAGAAGTGTGCTGGAAAGCACTGCAACATTCCAGTGTTAGGTATACAACACGAAATAGTAAGTTTTTAAATGTCTCAAAATGCCAAAAGAAATGAAGCTAAGCTACGTGACTAGGTCAGAGATGGCTGACCATCCCAGCAATTCTGCTCCGAGGTGGCAGTATGGTTTTCAGTTATTTAAGGCAGAAGATTCTGACATGTGGCACACAAAAACAACTTGGAATGTGGAGTAGTTGCTGTGTGCCACTCTCTGAGCTAAGAGCCTATGTGTGAACAGGTACCTGTCTGGTTCCCCTTGCGTTAGCGAGCAAGGCCTTCAAACTCATCACAGCATCTGTACAACTGAACAACCTGGGACTTTCACTCATGACACAGTATGTGAAAGCACAGGGCTAATGAAGGGGATGCACACCAAGCAGCTGATCAGGTGAAGTGCAGTTTGCAGAGGGAGGATGAGACATTTAAGCTAGGCCTCCGGATTTAGAAAGTTAAAGGATTTATACAGATAGGGCCAACAGATTTGAACCCAGTTTTCTCAAATAGAGTAGAAACTGACACAGTAATCACAGATACTTCTGGAGTGTCCCGAGTTCTCTTTACTCACACTGTAAAGTTGATAGGACGTTTTACAAACCTGCCCACTGTGCAGGCACACTGTTACTGCAGAACGGATATGACTGTCTGTCAGGTAACAGTAGTGCCGTCTTGTGCATGTTTTAGGATTAGTTTTCCATTGCGTAATGTCCAGGGCTTCTGAATAAATTCAGAAGGCAGCCTCAACCACTACTCTGTAATAGCTCCAACTGGGCTGCTAGATAACACCCAAACCCATGAAATAAATATACAGCTCTTTTGTGGAAAATGTCACAGTGAGGGAAATCCTGTCTGGCAATCTTGTGCTCACAGTCCAGAAAACCAGGAGCTCCAACTGCCACATACTGGGGACTCCACTATTCCCCTCAGAGCAGTAATCACACCACCTACATTTAAGGAGGATAAAAGACTGTCATATGCAGTTAATTTTTACATTGTATATTACAAGTACTGTAATGATTGCATTTCAAGTCTTTTTGCTTTGCATTCATCTAGCAGATCCTGGCCCAAGTTACAATAACATATCTTACCACAAAAACTTTAGTTATACATAGTTAAAACTATACCTCAGAAGTATAAGAAGCTGTTACCTATCAAATGAAACAAGCTGTTCTTCTCTGAGCCGCTCATCAGCCAGGAAGAGATAAAGGAGTTATTAGTCTTGCAGACTACCAGGACCACTTGCAAAATCCCCAGGAGTATCTTGAAGACAAAGGCATATATTGTCCAAAGAGTTCTCCGCGAATGCCACTGTCGCTTCAACTTTCAGATTTAATGTAGGTTAATTAAGATTAGATTTAGATTTATCTTTAATTTTTAGATTCAAATTGTCTCTGCACATCAGAGGCAACTGAGAGGTCAAAAGCAGCTAGTCCGTTTACTCGTATCCGCTGTCATTGTTTGTCACCTCCTCTCTCAACATGTAGCAAAAAATCTGGAGGATAATCCAACTGATAAACGCGTTCCCTTGTAGAAGTTAAGAATGCATACTGACCACAAAGCCCCAAGGCAAGGGGAGGAAAATGCTTTCACTGGCTTTTTTATTATGAATAAAAATAGTAGCCACAGGGGTTTGTCAAAACATAATAGGGAGAAGGTTTAAATGTACATTGGAGATATTTGCAGGGCAGTAGCTATAAGAAAATAAAGAAACATAGCATGAGATTTAAGATGTAATTTAAGGTGTGGTAAGCTTCCAACCGACCTCTTAAATTTTATAGTCTAGGGCTGCTAGAGAGCAGCCTGCAATGCTTTGTTATTAACCATACTTTGATGCCCCTCTTGTCCTCCACAACATTTGCAGCTGCCAGGATTTCTTCCTTCCTCTATTACCATTGACAAGTGGCACACTGAAATGAGTGCCTAGTACTTGCAACATCGGTAATGACAAAACTAATGCACCGAGGCCTCATCTGCACTCAGTAATGTGTCAGTAGGCAGCTATGAAGTTGGTAGGCAAGTACAAGATCTCAAAAGACTTGTAGTTCAATATATCAATAGAAAATTCCTATAAATACTTACAGAGATACGGGAGCCAGCTCTCACCCTTGCTACAGTCTCTTTTTCCTTCTCTGACACTCGCCTCTGTATTGCCTGGAAGTTATTTAAGGCCGCGGAGAAGTCATTCATTAAGCGTTCTTTCTGAAGCCTCTGTTGGCGCTAAAGAATTGAAACAAAAACAAGTGTTCAGATATTTGCATTCATGATAATGTAACTGTCAGACTCTCAAAAACCCCATCATCATAACAACAATGAATGCTGGCATTCAAGTGATCTTTTGGTTCCAGCATTCTGGGGCACTGGAAAGAACAAAAAGCCCTCCATATTTTAATTGTTATAGCAAATGCTCTACGCCCTGCCTCTTGCAGAACAGTTTTGTGCAATAAGGTTCTCTAATTGCAATCTAGTTTTAAGTCTGGAGTAGAGAGGTCTTCTACACCATTGCTTTTATTCAAATCACATTCCAGTAATCTACCACATTTAATTACATTCCTTTTGGATACACACAATGCCTTTACCCCCCATTTCTCTACTTAGCCAACCTGGTAGTACTTAACTTTCTCTCGTCCTGACAACCCCCTTAACTACCTTAGAAATATAGGAAGCCCCACATTTCCAGAACTAATGACAACACCCATTACCGCAGTTTCATAAACTGTCTCTCCCAGCTGTTACACACTACAATCCTGGTGTTATTTGAATACCCTTAGTCCTGATAACCATTTCAATTTGTCTTTTCTCCAAATACATTAGTTGTAATATTCCTTTTCATCCTCATTTTACAGTATCAACTTATTTAGCCTCCACAGAACATCTCCTTCTAGTGTCATGACATCCCAGTTATGGGAAACAAAAAGTTGTGAAAAAGCTTGTCCCAAGGACATTCAATCCTCTAGTAAGCTCTAATGTTTTCCGTTAGACAGATTCCCAACAGCTGTCTCAAATCGCAGGCTTTCTAGTATTGTAATCCTTCAATGAGTTTGTATCAATTCAACAGCCATTTCAAGGAAATAAATGTTTTCAATTAGTTTTTTCTATAATAAGCCTCATAGTACACTGCAGCTTCTATCTGAGCTGTCTGGAAGCAACAACCCTTCTGCCAGAGGAGATCCTCAGCACATTGATGCCAGCTCCTGCAGATTTTGACTGGACTGCTCCAACAGGCTAGGCTTCAGAAGTCACTACTGCATTCGGTGAGATGCACATGATAGGATTTTGTTCACCAGAGGGAAATGAAAAATATTTGCTGAACAAACAGGCAAAATGTGGCCATGCTTACAACTGGCATATAAACCTCTAAATACAGAATTAGACTAAGACAACATCTGCTGACCCATATCCACAGATCATCTCACAACAGTATCACAAAAGCAGATATCTCAATTTTGTGGTAGTGATTTAAAGTAGAGCAAGAAAATGCCAACAGCAGAGGCCTGTCCCTTCCCTTTCCCATAGGGAGGGGGAACTCGACGGACCATTTGGCAAGAGATAAAGTCATAATCATTGCCGCATTATATTTTGCTTTATTCCAGTATGAGCAAGGTGAGTCAGCTTCTCCCCCCCCCGCAATAAATCACATACAACGGAAAGCTTTTTGGTGTGATCACTTTTCATACTGACATGCAGTTTGCTATGAGTTCTTAGCCTAAAACACTGCCTCACATAACCAGGCACTTTGTAAACAAGATTATTTTTCAGAAAGTTACTCAGAAAACCAGAATTGCATACTCAGCTCTCCCCAGACATTTAGGGCTTCTTACTCTCACGTGAGTAAGTTTTATACCTATTTGCCACTGGGAAACATTGTTTCCCAGTGTTATATAAGCAGCCAGGATGTAGACAGTTTAATGTGTTTCCCTACTTCAACAACATTCTTCACTGCAAAAGGCTGCTGTCTTGTCAGCTGTGCCAGTTCAAGCTTCGTAACATTGTGGTCTAAGCTAGTTTCATGAAATGAGTGATTTAAAAATATGTCCAGAGAAATTCTGTGTGCCCACCTGTTCAGAAGTGGATAGAGGAAGTG